AAACGATTCAGTTCATTGGGGATCAAGAAAACCATCAAAAAAGGTAACTGAAATCTAAAAAACTCATCGAAGGTATTCCAATTAAGCTTGTAGTCTATCTCGACTTCTTCTTATATTGAATTGTGTGTGTGCGTGTGTCTATCTGTGTGTGGAAATATTTAACTCTCCTACAAATATAAAAAAAATCAAATCATTTATAAGAACTTTCCTCTTAAAGAAAAACCACACCGTTAATTACTGGAAAGAAAAATATTTTTGGATAATTTATTTTATTTTTTTACGTTTGTTTCTCTTTCACTTTTAAGTATTGCAAATCATTTCCTACTTATTAACCAATTCGTCATTCAGGCGCTTCTTTTAACGTTGAACTTTCAAACGAACCAACGTTTCTAACGTTAATTAGAGGAATTTTTTTACATTTTTTTCCCATTTCTTCGAGAGGTTTATGGACACACTGAATCGTTTTATATTAATTCCGACTTTAGATTTTTTTTCTTTTTTTTTGTAATAATTTGACAAAACCAAAAATTCTTCCTTCTTTGATTGATGGTGTTGTTGAAAATACAATTTAATGACCGTTGCTTTCTGGGGTGTTGCGTCGCGTAGGGGTGACACTTTGCCACGTTTCTGGTAGAGTTGGTAGCCACTAGACGTTGCTGACTTCACGCTCAAGCGATCCAGAGTACCTGTATTGACTCCTTATGCATGACTGAAGAAATGATAAGATGGAGGAACGTCTCCCTGGGGTGGAAAATGTGGACGTAAAAAAAAAATGCCCATGCTATCATTACTGCTTGGCGTAAGAGAGGGGGTTGAAAAATATTATCGTCTCTTTTACCCTATTTTCTCTATTATATTTTTTAAAAATTTTGTGGAAATTTAATATGGGTTAGTTCTATATAAATCATAAGGGATAAAAATCAAAACGCCTTCGAGTTCGTGATTAAAAATCGGAATTTTCAATGTCCTGCGGGTAATTTAAATATTTTCTTATCGACTCGAAGCTCGCGCAATTTGTTTAAATTACCTACACCTCGCCGAATGTGTTTAATGCATTTAACATAGTTAATTATTTGCCATTAATGTATAAACAGAATAGGAAAAAAATGATTTCAGGCGGGGAACGAACCCATGTTTGAAGCTTATCAATCAAGTGATTCGGCTCGGGTGGCTTTAGAATAGAACTAAATAACAGCCACCTCTAAAATATACACGTGCAATATAACCTCCAAACAACGGCCATTTTTTTTATTTCTTGTCTGTATTTTAACCTATAAAATTTGGTTAAAATATGTAAAACGTGCGAACGAAGGACACCGACGGAGCTTACAAATTATTCTCCTCTAGGATATTTATAAAATAAAATAAAAAATAAGTAGTTATAGCAAGAAGTAGGTGTAAATATAAGTAAATTTTATTGTTTTAGCAATTATAGGAAAGTCTTTTGTGTAATTTACACGACATAATTACAGTTAGTAGCCATTGTTTTTCTAAAAATAAATTCTCTTTCTTACAATTGTGTTTGCTCTGTTAGCAATCGTGACTTTATCGATTGCTGACACCTGAACCTATTACTTTTACTCAGATAAGAGCAATTTATATATATATATGTACACTTTCCCTGTTTATGCGAGAATTTATAACCGTAAGGGGGTGGAAAAATTAATATATTCTATGAGAGATTGTATTGTCTTATGGTGTATTTTTGTTTTTGTTTTTGTTGATGATTTTTTATGTATATTTTTATTAGTATGAAGTTAACAGTTTCGATAATAAAAATGCAAATAAGTCCTAAAGGAAGTTGGTTGCGAGCCAAATGATTTTAAAGTAAAATAAATCGTTAGAGCTGATTCGTTTAGCACAAAAGTCGAATAGGAATGATGTGTATGGAATATTCAATTCGGTTTTACTTTTCTTCTTTTTTCTTTATGAGAAAAATACAAATTTGGTTGCATCAAATTGAATCATTTTTATGATAAAAATTTATTAAAAAATATATTTTTTTCCGGAAATTTCTTCAAAAAAGACATTTGTGAGTTTTTGTGACGTATTTTCTAATGCTTATTGTGACGTATTTTAAAAAAAGGAAATATTTTTGTGACGTATTTTCTAATGCTTATTGTGACGTATTTTTTTTAAAAAAGGAAATATTTTTGTGACGTAGATTGTGATGTTTTTTTGCGATATATTTTTGTGATATATTTCACGATTTATTTCAGACGCATTTATATATTGTGAGGTAGTTTTGTAATACCGTTTGTGACGTATTTAATAATATTTTATGATGTATTCCGCAATATATCTGTGACGTATTTCGGGATATATTTTTTAACGTATTTTATAATATATCTACGATGTATTCGCAATATATTTGTGACCTATTTTGCTATATATTTGTGATATATATTGCAATATATTATGACATATTTTATGTATTTGTAACGTATATTTGAATTATATTATGACGTATATTACAATATATCTATTGACGTATTTTGTGATGTGTTTGTAACATATTATCACGTATTTTGCGATTTATCTGTGACGTATTTTCCGGTGTATTTGTAACGTGTTTTATAATATACAATGTGTATTTTCTTATATATATTGTGACGTATTTTATGAGTTAATGTGTATACAAATTTTTACGCCATTTTCACACACTTTACAAAACATTTTCACAACTTTGCAAGTTAAAAAAACACTATTATGACGCATCATTAAATCTTTCCCGAAACACAAATCTATATTTTTATTCTTTATTTAAATATAACTTTCAAGCGACATTTACTCTAATTTTTTAAAATTATTATTAAGCATGTTACCATCGATAAAATATACATTTTAGTAAATGAACCTTCTTCACTATAAAAAAAATAAATAAATAAAAAAATTGACAGCTTTAATGAATCATTTTCAGAAGATTGAAGAAGAAAGAAAAAGAATGTTTCAATCATTCTAATTTTTTTATATATATAATTTTTTTACAAGGAAAAAAATAAAAAAAGGAGAAGTGAAAAGCGTCAAAGATAAATACTTGGCATTTTTAAAGAGAAATGTTAGTTTTATTATCCAAGGAACAATCTTCGCATCGATGATGTGTTGCTGCAAGAAAAGACATTAGAGCTGCCAACAAAGACATTCAAAAAAATATTTGCCCGATATTTATTATGTTTGTTGTATAGAAATGAGGGATTTTTTTTTCTAGTCGGTTGGGATCGTGACTTGGTAAATAGGATACATTACAAGACAGGAAATGCCTCCTTCGCTTACGGATAATTTGTCTGCAGGAGAGGGAGAAAAAGAGGAAACAGATAGGAAAAAGTTTGGAAGTAGCGTGAATTTTAAGAGGAATATCAATAGAAAAAGTTTGCTGTAATGTGAAAAAATTAAAAAATAAGTAAAGCTGACGGTTTGTAAATTAAACAAGTTCATTTCATTCATCCATTTCCGAATGGCCTTGTCGTTCAAGGCCATTCGGAAATGGATGAATGAATCGGAAAAGTTCAATGGAAATGACCTTGATGGTTTGTAAATGTACTGTTTAAGGTCATGCAAATAATCTTGAACAGTTCATTTCTTTTCAAGTGAATAGCGAGGTTGCGGCCGAAGTTTTCATCTCTCAAACGTGAACGTCGAACGTCGAGTGCCGCTATCTTGTAAGTGGCGCTCGACGTTCGACGTTCACGTTCGAGAGATGAAAACTTCGGACGCAACCTCGCTATTAAAACGTTTAAAATATTTCTGGAATTGTTAATTCGCTACGTTTTAGCGAAGAATAAACAAAAAAAACTTCAATCGAACTTTATTTAATTCGGCAAAAATTTATGAGGCTGCCACTATGTAGAAAAACGTCGTATTGTACTTGTACTTTCGTTATTTTATTGCATTTATATAAATGTGCGTATACTTTGTTTCGTGTAGGAGAATATGGAAAGCTAGACACACACAGACAGATGAAGGAAACAAAAGAAAAGAGATTTTCAGGCAGTATTTATATATATATATATATATATATATATATATAACTGGTGTTACTGATGAAGCTGGNTAGTTTGTCTGGCCGCTAAATATTGTTTTATAAATACAGACAATTAATGAAATAATAAATAAAATGGCGGGTTTATTAAATATAAAAAATTCGAAATTTCCGAATAAATTAAACAAAATGGCGACCGTTTTAATTTTCATTTTTCTTTCGAGAAATAAAATATTTTTAAGCATTTCAAAGCGCAAATTACAATAAAACCAATTATAAATTATATATATATATAAAGAAATTTAGATTTTTAGAATCTTTAAAAGTTAATTTCAATCAGAAAAGTAAAAAAATTCATCAAAAAAAAAAAATTCTATTTTTCTTCTTCAATTTTATTTGGCTTATAAAGGTACACGAAAATTGGCTTCATATATCTATTAAGTGGCAGAACAGGAAAGGATTTCTATTATTTCTTGGAACAACGATAATCCCTTTACCTTTTTTTTCTTTACTTTTCCTCAAGAAAATCAATAAAAACAAATCTAAAAAAACCTTTCTTGGGATTTTTTTTGGTTCTTCTACTTCTATACAATTAAACCACATCCAGTTTATAAATAACAAACTATCCTGTCACCACTTAAACTTTCATGACAGCAAGTTATGAGGTGATTTGCATTTTATGTTCGTGTGTTTGTCTGTGCGTTTCCTAAAATATGACTCGGAATTTTTTTTTCAAGTAAAATAAAATTTTTTTTATCGTGAAAATAAATCAGGATATTCTTCTTCTTTCGGTTGGAATCGAAAATTTAATTTAAAATATTGAAATACAATTAAAAAATTGATTTATTAAACCTTAAATGAAGATGCTACTTACTTCCAAATTTACGAAAACGTCTTGGAGAAGATTAAACTTCTCATCATCGTCCACCGCAAGAAACATTCTAATTAGATAGACTTATTTTCTAATTAGAATATTCTAATCGAACATCTTCAAATCGAGATTTGAAAATATTCGAAAATAAATTGCTGTAATTAGAATGTTTCTTGCGGTCGCCGATGACGAGAAATTTAATCTTGAAAGCGCTTCGTCAATTTGGAAGCGAGTGGATCCTTGATATAAGGTTCGATATACACTCGTTAACAAAAGCTGAGCATTCAAATATTACGTCGAAACTCGGCTTACAGGTGTATAAATGATTACAGTAGTGTTACCATTGTATGCCGGATAATTCCCCTTAAAATTGTTAACCCAGTCTTATGTAAAAAAGGCGCACAGAGGCTCGCTGTGTACCTGTTGTTTGGAAGTATTTGAATGCCAGGCATTTCTGTATGACGCAATCAAAAACATTACTCATAAATGACGTAATTTGACGAAGGCTGAAGATGAAAGGATGAGGAACTAGGATTGTAATCATTTATTAATATTGTAATCACATTTTCGATAGTAATAAGTAATTACAGTTATGTTGAGTTCATTTTTAATTTTTGTTTTTAATTTATAAAAAAATTCAAGTAACTTTTTTTTTTTATTTAATACATAAAAGAAGAAATTTATTGGTTTGTTATAAACGAGAATATTTGAATTAATTTTTTACAACAATTTTCTTGAATATTATTATTGTATTTTTTTCCAGGAGGAAAATAAATAAGTAGAAAATTTAGTCGAAAATCGAATTTGGCAAACGATTGCTCACCAGGATGAATGGAAATTCAGTGATAATCATTTACAACAAATCAAAATTGATGTATTCAGAGTCAAAGAAGCGTTATTTTTGGCACCAGAAGTGAGAAACATCAATTTTATTTTTTAATTTTTTTTTAAATATAGACTTCAGAATTTTATATATAAAATTTTAATACAAAATTCTTTTTCGTTTTGAAAGTTTTTGATATTTTTATTATATTAAGTTCTCCACTTTTGCATTTTAAGTAAGAGAAATTTTTTTAACGAATTTTTAAATAAATTTATAATGGAATTTACATAAAATTCTTTAGTTGTAGATATAAAAGGACTATTTTTGTTTTTTAGATATATAAAACTCAATTTTAATGATGTAAAGTTGCATCTGGATTCGCTTTTACAGGTGCAAGAACTGATTTCAGGTGCGTGTTGATCGTTCCGGATATAAAAATCACAGTAATTATAGGTAGAATTCATGTATTTATTTTATTTTTACACACTTTTCAATTGTTCTACGAATCTACTTTGGTTTTCGGATGCCCTTTCGTAGAATACATAGAAGGCCCAATGGCCGAGTAGTTAAAATGGCACTCTACCACTCTGGAGGATACGAAATCGAATCCGGACTGAATCGAAAAATTTCCATGAATTTTCGGGTTGGTCCGTTCCTAGCCTAGGTATGTCAAGTTCTTCACCTCACCACTCTCATTTACTTCATTGTGGATCAAGCGGAAACAATAACGGGCTTGCCGGTGGCGCGTTATACCTTCATGGAACCCAGGTGAATTTGAATTAGGGTCTCCAAGTACATTGTTGACTTCAGACATTTTTCTTCGGGGGATTTTTTGAGGGGAAATATATTTCTTATAAATGATCGTTTGGGGCTCCTTGTTGATGGAGCCCCAGGAAATTGCCATAGGAGATAACACGCTTCTGGGGCTTGCTAAGGAGGCTTTCTTTAGCAAGCTAAGGAGGCTTTTCAGAGCGGAAAGAGTAAATAAAAAACTTGAATATTTAGTTCTTACACCCAAAATAGTAAATTTTACATACTTAATACGTAATTTTTTTATTGACGCCAAGAATAATTTTCCATACAAAATTGGAAAATTTTCATAAATTGCAAGAGTTATGAATTTACATACGATGAAGTTTGTCAAGTACATTTTTTCCCCACTGTTTCACTTTAATGTTTAACTTTCCTGTTAAGTGTACAATTTACATAAACTAAATTTAATAACACAATAAACGATAATACGTCAATAGCAACAAAACTATTTAAATAATAAGTTTAGAAGCCAAACACGGTTTATCCAATTAGCAAAAGGGGTGCAAATTCATCCCAAACAAAGGACACGAGATTTCAACTCTCTTGCATTATTTAATTACGACTCGGAAGTGGAATATCCGTATTTGTGTTGATGCCAAAAACTTGTACAAATTGGCTACAACTCGCGATAACGTCGAATGGTTCGGATATTTCGATTAAGTAACGTTATTAAGGGGGATAATAGATCAAAAGTGGACTCCTGTCATTGACTGAATGAATCACGTGTCAAGAGGTAGACAAATGATGCAGTCACTTAACCAGGAAATTCAATTTTGACTTTGCTCCGAATTTATAACGTCTCGTTTAACAAGTTCTATTATTTAAATGATGACTTCTCTGAGGGATGCTCGCGTTACGTCGATTTCCAATGTCAACAGTTTTGTCTAACCGATCGTGAATCATTCGTGAGGTCTGTCTGGTTGTCTGTCTAAAAAAAAATTATATCAAAATAAAATTTCGGCCTCGTTAACTTCGTGATGTATCTTTTGTCACTCGTCAACAGATTTTTTTCTCCCGTCCTTCCCTCTATAGATCGGTGTTAAGTTACGTTTTTTTGATGAAATTTTACTTTTCTGCTGGTAAATTTCGTGAGAAAGGTAGACATTTAAATACAGTTCTGTATTTCGTAACGTGAAATTCATTTTTATGCGCGAAATTCTCGTACACCGCTGTATTTAGAATGAAATTTAGTAGATCTAATCATTTTTTTGGAATGAAATTCACGCATATTTATTTTACCAATTATGGAAATTTTCTTATATTTCACACTCTTCGTTTATTAAATTCAAGTAATTTATAAATTATATAAGGTTCTAATTAAATAATCGATTAAAGAATAAAGAATTTCACACCCAACTTACTTTTGAAACATGAAATTAATTTACAATACGATTTTTTGTTTTTGGTGACGAAATTTAATTAATCGCGTGAATTTCACTGATAAAATAAGGGAAAATCCCGGTATTTTCAATGATTTATAACCAGATTTGGGGTGTGAGATCTCAATACAAGTTTAGTTGTACAAGTTCATAGCAGAACCGGAAATGAATCGAGGGGTGTGATGTTAAGTCTCGCGCCTTTTCCCAGGAGATTTCTCGGTTTCGATGCCGATAAATGAAAGAAGACAGAACAATTTCTCTTCTGTAGAGCTAAATTGTTCTCGGAACTCGACTGTTGTCTTCGAAATCTATTCTTTACAATCAACAAGGAGAAGACACACACGACAATCCTGCTACAGATCCCAAAGTGAAGATAGATTTCAGATTAATGCTCTTCTTGTAACATCCCATTTGACTTCTGTACAAATCTCTCGTCTTTTTCTATCCTCGACGCAAAGTTTCTTGTGCCACTAAAAATTTATACCTAGTTTTTACTACAATAAATTGTCTCTTATGTCTTTGGTACGAGCAATTTATTATACATCTTTGATACAATGATTTCTCTTCATAAATTGTCATCATTAGAAAATTATATTTTGTCTGCTTTCGTTCTTTGTGCTCTTTCAATTTTGTTGTATGTTTGAAAGAATTATGTTGTACACTATTTTATATTGAGTCCTTAGTAAAGTTAATTATGTTGTTTGTTTTAACACAGGATATTAAGCACACAACACGATTTCTTGTGTGCGCTTTTTGTACAGAAATTGGGCGTGTATGTATGCTTTTAGTAGAGGAAAAGGTGGTATTATAGAACACTGCGGGTATTATGGAACCACTCCATTTCGAACTGATAATAAAGGCGAACTGTAGCGGATTGTGGCTGAACTGAACTAGGCAGACATCCATAGCAAGGGGAAAACCCGTTTCACTTCAGTTTTGTCGTATTTAATCAGCAAATTTGTTTTTTCAAAATTCGCAAGTTTTGAATGCTAAGTGAATTTAATTATTTTTAAAATATAAATCGTGTAGTTGTAGGTTCACTGGTGCATGTATTCCGTTCCAGAGACTTAGGGGTACATATTAATCTGTGTGATGTTCAGGTTTTTTAAATTTTGGTCTTGACAGATATAAGTTAATTCAAGATGGCGATGCGTGAAATACGGACCCCATTGGTGCTTTTACAGTAATATGGAACTCAACTCCTCCGAACTCTCTATTTGCAAGCAGACATTCGTCCGGAGCCATTTGTGAAAAAGACACTAGGTAGAAAGTCGGTTCTTCCTGAGAATATCAAAAAAGAGCTGCTGGAATATATATTGTTGATGGAGGTCATATTTTTCTATTATAAAAGCATTTTTGCGATAAAATACATTGGAGTAAATAATTTTGTAATTATTTAACATTTTTTGTACTTTCCTATTTGTTTTTGGATACATTAAAGCATTTTTTGAAAATATACAGTAAGGTTCCATATTACCACCCAATTTTCTCTAAACCTACTTTCTGACTTTTTGTACAAAATCCTTCAAAAACCATACTTGCAGTTACACTAGCGAAAAATCCAATTAGGAACATCTAGTTTAATAGTTACCAGTACTTTTCGCACAAAAAATGTGGGTGTAGTTATGATACCTTGTTTACAATTCACTAAAATGTAATTGGGGTTCCATAATACCATAAATACCATAATTCCATAAATGTGGGTGTAGTTATGATACCTTGTTTACAATTCACTAAAATGTAATTGGGGTTCCATAATACCACCTTCTTCTCTACAGGAGTTGTGTTTGTATGCCAAAGGAACATAATACAATTTCTTGTGCGCGTTTTTTGTGTAAGAATTGTGCGTGTATGTATGTTTTTTGTACAGGAATTGTGCGTCTATTTCTTTAGTACAGGAATTGTTTTTGTATGCCACAACACAAGAAATTGTGTTGTTTCATACAAAAACAACACAATTTAGTGTAGGAATTATGTTTGTACGCCAAAAACAACACCATTTAGTATAGGAATTATATTTGTACACCAAAAACAACACCATTTAGTATAGGAATTATGTTTGTACACCAAAAACAACACCATTTAGTATAGGAGTTATGTTTGTACACCAAAAACAACACCATTTAGTATAGGAGTTATGTTTGTACACCAAAAACAACACCATTTAGTATAGACGTTATGTTTGTACACCAAAAACAACACCATTTAGTATAGGAGTTATGTTTGTATGCCAAAGGCATACACAAAAATTTCTGTACAAAAAGGCACAACACAATTTCTTGTGTTGTGCCTTTGGCATACAAATTTGGCATACAAACAGCGAAATTTGGCATACAAACATAATTTATATACTAAATGCATACATACGTACATTTCTTGTACAAAAAGGCTCACACAAGAAATTGTGTTCTGTGCAATTTCTTGTATGGGTTTTTTTTTAAAAAAAAAAGTATATACATGTATGCCTTTAGTACAGGAATGTGTACAGAAACGCATTGCGAGCCTTCGTTATAAAAATTGCGACACATGTCTTGGATACAACGAATCACATTGTTTGTTTTAGAAGAATAAATAACGTTTGACGCCTTTAAGAGTAGAAGAAAGGCTGCGGCTCACTTTTAAAAGTTTAATCCCTCAGAGTTTGTCGTTCGATAGCTAAGCTTAACTGCAAAGAAATGAAAGGGATTAAAGATGTTATGTTAATAAGGTTTGATCAAACGAATTGCCTTTCCTTATCATTTAGTAAAATGGCGCAACAAGCGTCGAGGGAAATTTATTTACAATACATAGCGTGAGTTTGAGTATTAAAGGGATAAATTTAAGTAGGTTCTTATGAAGCTACTCGATGCTTTAATCGCTCAGAAGAACAACGCAATGGGGGATTTAAAAACCACCAAAATGTGCTTTGATTGCTATAATAGTATCATTAAAGCCCATACTATTATGCTAATAATGTAGGAGAAAATTGCCCGTTTATTCTTTAAGCGTTATTAATAAAAATTCCATTTATTACTCTTATAATTAAGTTTAAAAAATTAATTTATTACGCTAACGGCATCAATAAAACCCGCGTATTTTACTAGCAAGGTTTAGTACGCTCGTGTTGTACGTTTACTACTGTTAAAGTATTTATTATTCGAATATTTTTAGATAAAAATATTAAAACCTGTCTAAGAACTCTTCGCATTTTCTATGTTAAAATGTGAACCTGTTCAAAACGGAAACCTGCCAAAGCGGAAAAAGTGCGATACCGGTTTACACGGGTTTTACTGTATACATTTATACTGAATTACTTAAATAGTATCGAATAGATTTATCGTTGAAGGAGCTTCTAATAAAAATACTGAACGTGGATTGTTATTCTGATAACATTTACAGAAGTTCAACGTTTATTACTTCGGTAGTATAAGGCTAATTGTATGAGTGATGCCGATAAAATTACTTTTTATTATTTTAGTAGTAGTTCTAATGTACTATAAGGCAATAATGATAGATATTACGTATTTATTATCATAGTAACGTTAATAATAACAATTTATTATAAGTTGCTAATAATGTTATATTTACTGCACTGTAATAAAAATATTAATTTATTACTCTAGAAGCATTAACGAAAATCGTTTTCGTTACTTTTATTTTGCATACTTTCGTTACGTAATGAAATTCTTTTCGTTACTTTTTACGTTACGACATTGCATTACGTTACTTCTTTCATTATTTCTTATGTTATTCTATTGTATTGCGTTACTCCGGACATTAAGTTACTTCTGTCGTTACTTTTTATGTTACGTTATTGTATTACGTTACTCTATTG